GGTCTAACTCAACCAGCGTTTTCATTGAGGAAGGTGAGTCAGGCCCTCGAGGATGGCTGCATACTGGACCCAGAGAAGATCCAGCAGGTTGAGAAACACCTCGAGCAGAGCCCCCAACCGGAGCAAGCCGTCTGCGGAGCCGGTGGAGAGGAAGATCCCCCCCGAGAGCAAGGAGCGCCGCTGGGCCTCGCAGGGAGGAGGTGCTGGGAAAGGGCTCCTCGATGCAAGAAACCGAACGCATTTTTGTTGAAACCTGTGGGAAGGAGCAGCTGCCTTTCGGAGAGAAATGAAGTCTGCAGAGCCTGAAGGTTACCTGCAGGCCTCGCCGAGTAGTTTGGAGAGCTGTTGTTGCTGTTCTTTGCTTATTTGGACACTTTGTATAAAGAATGCTTTTAATTTGTTAGCAGCGTATATGGTGGGTAGGAGAAGGGGAGAGACTTGGGACCGGGAACAGCGGCTGGGGGGCGATCTGAGGACCCAGGGACAAGTCCGCTCGGGATGTTCACTCAGTCAGCCGGTGTCATCACTTCTGCATCTGTGACTCCCACGGGTGCACGAGAAGAGCTGTCCTACAGAGAGAGATGACCCTCCATACTCGCTCCGCGTTTTCCTGGCACTAATTCTTGACCAGCTGTGAGGACTACGTACCTGGTGAACATTCACGGGGCAGTTCCGACGCCATCTCTCCCCTGATGCCTTTGATCCCGGTGTCCCACCAACCGCATCCTACAAGCTCTGCTGGTAGTTTTTTGTGGTTTTTTTTTACGTTGGCACTTACGAAATTCTGCTTTGAATTATGGTCTCGTGTATTTGATCCCTTACACTCAGAATGACTTTCCTTGAGGTGAGAAGCCACGTTCTGCAGATATTATTGACGACTCCCAGTATCGTGCTTACAATAACTGCTCAAGAATTGATTATCCAATTTACTTCAGAGAGGCGATGTAGCCATCGAGAAGGCTCCAGTAATAGTCATTATTGGCAGGATGTCTGTTAAGAAGCCATTAACATGCTCCCTCCTTGTGTTAAGAAGTTTATTAACATTCTTCAGATTATATTTTAATGAAGTTTCATAATGGAAAACACAAGAAATGCTTTTGTGTATTAGTCTACTCAGACGAAGCTGGCTTTATGAATTCAAAGGGATTAGAGAAAATTGATCTCATATATTGCAAAACCCAATAAGTTGTAGTGATTTCTTCTATAAATGAAAAAGTTTAAATGAAATTCCAGGAACGTTACTAGGTCTCATTTAATCTTCAGTAATAAAAGAGAGAGAGAGAGAGAGAGAGAGAGAATGTGACTCTCAACAATTACTTCACCAATTCTGGTTTCTCATTAAATTTTGAGGGAATCGGAGCAAATAGAATAAAGGTACATTGAGAAGTGGAGTAAAAGTCATAAACATGTACCAGATTTTAAAATGAAAATACAAAGTATTGGGGTTACATGTTCAAAACCTTTGTTCCATTTTTCTAGAAAGTCAAGTGCCTGCCCCTTGCCACTGACCTTACCCCCAAATGACAGAATCTTTGACATTTACTGGACTTGGCTTCCTCCTGGACAGTGCCCTCGACAACCTAACTTACTATCCTTTGGTCTTCAGTGGCCTAAGAGCCAGATCGTCACACAGAATTACTGCAACAGAATTTGCAAAGGTTTCTCCCTTAAAAGCCAAAAGAGATTAGCCTCAAGCATAGCAGCTGCCCTCTTGGCTTATGAGGGGCAAAGGGGATTTTATTTTTTTTTATGTGAAAGACAAGGTGTTTTCCTGGCGGTAAAATTCTAGGATACATGAAATACCTTCGAAACTTCACTGTGACTCCTTCCTGCATGTGCCAGTTTTGACAGCTAATTTCCAGTAGAGGTTTACGCAGAAAGAAAAGGGAGGGGTTTTTATGAAAGAGGTACAATCTACGGGGGAGAAAAAAATGACAAGGGATTGAGGCGGGCGGCAGGGACGCCCAGGAAGGCGTAAGGGACACGGATCCGACGAGCCCCAGGTGCTCTCCCTGGATCTCTCCCACTCCCTCGGAAACCCAGCCTGACTCACAGCTCATGAGCTGAGCCAGCAACAGCCCTGGCGTGTCTGCGAAAAGTCTAAACTACCAAGACGAAAGCAGGCTTGTTGTGATTACCAAGCCCTTTCATCTCATTATTAACCTGACAGATAAAATTGAGTTCACGGGGCGGATCGTGGGGCTCGGAGGTCAAAGAACTCGGGATGCTCAGCTGTCTCCTGTTCTCGCGCATACGCCCTTGCAGTCAGGATGGAACAAACGTACGCGGATTGGACAGGATCATCTAAGAGGCCACCGAGAAAAATTAAAACGGATTTTTTTTTTCCTCATGCATTTTTAAGTTTCCAGAAGGCTGTTCAATTATCGAAGTGTCTCCTACAGATTGAAGACCTGGGAGCGGAATTGCCACTGCCGGCCACCTTCGGACTTGCATTAATTGGTCCGTGGTATCGTTTCCTTCTTGCTATTAAGCTCTCCTGTCTAAGGTTATAATATGAAAAAGAGTCTCAGGAAAAAGATTATAAAGCATAATTACCATTTCTCAAGTGTCTGTCCACAGATGGATGGGTGTAGAAGGGGTGGCACCTCTACAACAAGGGGACATTATCCAACGTGAGACAGAGCATCCTGCCGCTGGCGACACCAGGGATGGGCCTGGAGGGCACTGTGCTGAGTGAAATAAGTGAGACAGAGAAAGACAAATACTGGGTGATTTCACTTATATGTGGAATCGGGGGGAAAACCTCAGAAAGAGAGTAGAATCATGCCAGCAGGGCCTGGGGGTGGGGGAGATGGGGAACTCGGGTCAAAGGGCACAAACTTCCAGTTATAACATGAAGATATTCTTGAAAGTAAACATAAGATGAAACAGTGATTACTCATGATAAATGGGAATCAAAGTAGCATAACTTTAAACAAAAAGTGGTGCATATCTATATACATATTTATACAGTGGTATATTATTCAGTCATAAAAGGGAATGAAATTCCCTTACCTGCCACAACACGGATAAACCTTGAAGTCATTATAACTGAAACAAGCCAGATGGGAAGGGAGGAATACGGCATGATTCCACTTACATGATGAACCTGGAGCGGGCAGATTCACAGAGACGGAAAGTGGAATGGAGGTTGCCAGGGCTGGGGGGCGGGGTACAGAATTTCTCTTTGGGGTGATGAGAGGTTCTGGAAGTGGGCAGTGCCGATGTGTGCGCAACGTGCGAACGTAGTTAACTGCACTGAATTGTATACTTAAAAGGGTTCAAATGGTAAACATTCTGACGATTAAAGCAATGAGTAAATATTTAAAAGAACAAACACTTCCTGCAGAGCAGATGCTCCGTTCCCAATGAGAGTACATTTCTTCACCTTGGGGCGGGTCACACAGTGTCAGTGTCGGGGGGAAGCTCCAGACCTGGGTTCGGAAGTTCCCCAGTCTCAGTTCTGTCACTTCTAGTGATAAAAATTTGAGCAATTGCCCTGGCAAGCTCCGTTGGTTAGAGCATCGTCCCAGTACTCCAAGGTTGCAGGTTCGATCCCTGGTCAGGGCACATGCAAGAATCAACCAATGAATGTGTAAATAAATGGAACAGCAGCTCGATGTTTCTCTCTCCCTTCCTCTCTCTCTCTCTCAAAAAATCAATGAGTAAAAAATTTTAAAAAGATTTGTGAGCAAGTCACTGAAATCCTTTACGCTTTAGTTTCTTCCGGTTACAGTAGCCAACAGAGTTGTTTTGAGGACAAAATTGAAAGATGCATAGGAAGTGCTTCATAAACTCCCACAACCCTGCCGTGCGTGGGGCAACGTGCGCTTTACGTTCCTTGAAGGTGCTTCGTCATAACGATCTGATCACTGCCATGCACTCTTTAGTTCCTCTTTAAATACCGTATGATATTGTTCTTAGTGGTAATATCCAGCCAAAGTGCCTTTTAAATTTTTTTTTCTCCATGTAAAGTATTGAATCATAGTTTTTAGAACTAAACAAGCTGAATTTCTGAGGAAACCACATTCCTACTTACCATTGTTAGAGGGACTGGGCCACTAAGCCTTTTCATTTAGGCTGTTTCTGTACCTTTGGTTCATTGTTTGGCCTCACTGTACACACCTTAGGACGAAGAAACAGCTACGTTGTATCTTGTCTAGAAAAAAAAATGGGCTTCAGTTATATGTAATGACAAGTATTTTAAAAATGTATTTTGCTGCCGGCTCTCATCTTCCATTGCAACATTGTCAGTCTCTACACTGTCAGACATACGTCAGGGCTTTGACGTGACGTGACGGCCAATGAAATGTCATCTCGTAAATCTCTTCAGATACATAATTGCATTGGAAAATAAGTATTTAAAAAGTGACACAAGTTGCTTGCTAGAACATCATCAGTGAGCACCAAAACTCGGTGTGGTTGATCAAAATCCAACGTGGCTGCAACAAATGCCAACTAATTCTTTTTGTCTGCTCCTTAGTGGTTACGTCTTTGACTATGATTACTACAGAGATGATTTCTACAATCGGTATGTAAATTCCTTGTCTTTGTTTCCCTTTGATTTAAATGATCATTTAAGTATTGTGTACATTTCATTCCTGGTATTATTGATTGATAGGTTTAAAATATTTTATAGTAAAAAAAAAAATGCTAAGTCCCCCAAAATCTGATTTAGATAGTTTTTCCTCTTTTCATTGTACTTACAGATGTATGGAAAGTACGACTTGGACTTTTAGGACATCAAAGGCGCTTAAGCCTAAAATTGGGTGTCTGATATTTGGATAATATTTTAGAGATTTAGTCAGCCAATATTACTTTCCAGGTCTGTTGTTGACTTAGAATTCCTTCCGACAGAGCTTTGTAAGCTCAGGAAATGACTTCAGTCTTCTAAAAGACATGTTTCATATGACACACCGACCGTGCTAGGTTGGTTAGATTCGGTGAGATGTGCTACACACTTGCTCAGCACAGTCGCGTGGGACTAGGAAAGAAAACCACGCAAAGTGATGCTAATAATAGTGGAGAAAACAGGACTTTCCATTACCTTTTGACCTCGTGTAAGTGAACAGCAGAGAAGCTGCTAGAGTCGCAGTTCATGGAGAAACTCTAGGTTGCAGTTGTTTCAGGCCATTGGGTGTTGAGCACAGCCTACATCCCTGACGACTGGAAGAACATTAGCAAGCGGCAACCTCTGTCATTATGCAAATTAAATTACCAGCTGGAGAGTGGCCTTCCCCTGAGAACGTCTGGGAAGGACAGCATGGTACAGGTGAAAAGGGCGAGATTTGGAGGCAGAAGACCTGAGTTGGGGGCCCAGGTGTGCCTGTGTTGACGGCTTAAATTTGGGCAAGTCACCTCCCCCCTCTTTTTTGCAAGTTTCCTTCACGGGTGAAATGACTCAACAACACCTACACTGCAGAATTATAAGACTTAAAGATTCAGTTTATTACTATTCAGATGTGTTACCTTTCTAATTACCCAGAGCTATCTACAAACTATAGCAGAGAGCAGAGTTGTACAAAATATAAACAGGATGGTAAGGTCAAAATATTGCAGGGAAGGTCGTTCAAGATGTCGGTCATCTTGCCGTTTATTAAAGGCCTGCTCCAGGGGTATTTGCACAAGACCTGGGGGACAGAGGACGTCACTGAAAATCTTAGAGAAATTAATGATGAAAAACAGAAAGAGAAATTATTCATCTCCTGGTCTCAAGTGAAGGGAGTCTTTAAAAAACTGTTTTCTGATCATTTGTAACCAAAAGCTTATCTGATGTCAGGGTAGAAATTATAGAAGAATTTATGAATTCTGAGTCGTTCAAACAGTATAGAAAGAAAGATATACTAAAAGGCTATAAAAGTCATTTATGTGGATTTCAAATATAGCCTTGTTTAAAAATAGATAGGCACCTTCATTTGGTTTGATAGACGGTGCGTCTGTCAGAAGTTAAGCAGCACTGAAGTGGTGAGTTCAAGGTTGAGTCAAGGTTGAATCCGGTCCCCTGGTCATTGATCGTACATCTGCTGAAAGGCCCCAGTGCGAACATGGTCGAGGACCTGTCCTCAGGGTCTGGCTCCGGGCAGCCCACTGATTCAGCCCCTATTGTCCCATCTCCTTCTGCACGTGTAAGCGACGTGCAATTTTATGGAAGAACCTATTATGGGAGGTTTTTTTAAATCTTTCTTCCTTCCTTTTCCCAACTCTGACTTTCATACCAGATTGTTTTCATTGACTGTTTTGAAGCAACTATGAGAACGTAACCTGCGAATCGTTGTCACTGTAAATACGCAACAATCCCCAAGTCGGGAACGCTGTTTTCTGTACAGCGCATAGCGCAGGCACTTGTGGTTCACAGGCAAGTAGTTGGAATAAATGAGTAAATGTGCCTCATTTTCTCTGGCCTTATACGCTTCTCAGATGTGCCAAGTCACACAAACATGTGCCGTCTGCAGTGCAACCACAGGAAGCTGTTGAATCTATGACTTGCATGTTTGTACAAACGAGTAGATACCAGACTCTTACTCCTTTCGCTGCTAACTGGAAATGCGTTGGTTGTGCTGCCTCTCGATTTTCACTTTCTAGCAAAAGCACTGAGGGTTTTATTGGTATTTTTTTTCCGGTAGAGAAATTTTCAGTAGCTGACTACACCAATATCTCTAGTCTCCACTTGCACATCTAACAGATGGTCAGAGTAGTAAAGAGATTTCCTAGTGAATATTCGCACCAGTGCTTCTGTCAGCAGTTCTGTCTCCCGCTGGCGTCATTTCAGTCCAGCCCAGGGCCCTTTTCCCTACAGGGGGGCCTTGCCTTCCTTAGAAAGTCCCTGGAGAGAGGTGCGCACCTCATTGATTCATCTCTCACAGCTGTGTTCCTTAAGCTTGTCTTCTCATTTTCTCTCCTTCTGAGCTATTTTCTGATTGGACAATAATTTTCTTTGCTTTGTTCCTGGTGCTCCGAGACCTTGTCTTGTTTTCACAGTAGTGTGCTAACAGGTGTCTGACAGGTAAGAGGAAGATATCTGTTCCTAAGAAGGGTAAATCTGTCAGGTCAGGCAAACACGTACACTTGGGAACCAAGATCAGCACAATGTCAGCAAGTCTGATGGTATATATGAGATTCCTACCTGGCGAGCGAGTTCACGCTGGACAGTCAGATCCTACCAACCAAGAAGCATACGCTACATTGTTATTTATTTTGAAAAATGAACCTTCCAATCGATACTGTTTCTGAATATTAAAGAACAGTGATAACCGAAACATTTATTGAGGTTTTCTACAATGCCGTTCTCTCAGTCACTTCCCATGTTGGACGGACGCTGACACATGAACCAATCTTCCCACATGTGTGTCCTGTGCAGGTTGTTCGATTACCACGGCCGCGTGCCTCCCCCTCCTCGCGCAGTCATCCCGCTGAAGCGCCCCAGGGTGACCGTCACGTCGACTCGCCGGGGAAAAGGCGTGTTTTCCATGAAAGGGGGCTCGAGATCTGCCGTAGGTGGGTCCTCATCCTCAGGCTCTAAATGTAAGCAACCTCCTTTATCTCCTTTTATAGAAGGGTGGGGATAAGTATCATTGTGTGAAGGCCTGTATTCGATAGTTAATCAAACAAGTGTGGACTGTCTGCTACGTACAAGTACGAGAGAAACAGAAAATGGGTAAGAAATGGCATCTGCTTCCCAGCACGGTACATTGTGGGGGAGACAGACACAAGCATAACTGACAAAAACCCAGGACCAGTTTGAAAACTGTTTTATCTGAGCAGGTAACGAGCTGTTTATTAGGGTTTGGCCGGTGACTCAGGATCTGAAAGAATTCACAAGAGAAGGGGTGCAGAGAGGAAATTTATTTTACTTCCCAAGAGAGGAAAGGGCCAAGTATTGCTAGTCAACACAGGGCAGGAACTATAGGGTGGCCTGCTCTTTTAAGCAGTGGCTGTTGCTAAGCAACAAGGAAGGGAGGGGGTTTGGGCTGTGTGTGGAAGTTGAGCAGATGCCAGGGGCTGTCTTGAAAAGTTACAGTTTGTTTGCTTTCCAGGAGAAAGCCCCATAGATGTCCTAGGGAGGTGTCTTATCCATATTTTTCCCCAGCCTGTAAAACATGCTCAGAGCAAAAGTTATGAAGACTTCAAAAGAGGGTTATTTGAAGGGGGGAGGAGGGAAGGGAACTTTCTACTAACTCAAGACTCCTTGGTGGGAATTATCCCTGAGCTGTGAAAATAGCTGGGAAGAGGGGGATGCAACAATGTAGCCTTGAGAGTTGTGAAAACAGCGGGGAGGAGGGGGCTACAACAATGTAGCCTTGAGAGTAGCTTATCTTGTCTGCAGTTTGAACAGAGGGGCTGTTTGAATCAGAGGAGCCAACAGTCTTGGGGCTTAATTACCAGGTGTTTCTCATAAATTGTGGATGGCTACAGCAAAGAAAAAGAGCGGTCTTTTTCCTATCTTTACGCTATTGGCGCACTTGGCTTGTGACACATTAAAGTCCTGAAATAGGACGTGTTGCTTTCAGTGAATGAACGATTTCTCTTCTGAAGAGAGTGCGTGTACCACCTTTTCAGAGGAACACTATGCAAAATTCGTGCATCTGCGAGTATTTGAAAATGCATTAGGGTAATGAAGACAGGCAAACTGCACAGTAGAGACGGGAAGAGTGTGACTCGCCATCCTTGTCTAAATCGTTATGGTAGTTGTGTGTCTGAAAACACATTTCATGTCATGAAAAATGAAATGATATTTACATAATTTTCCATTGCTGAAAAGCAGAGACACAAACTTCCTAACTAAACACACTTCTAAATGTTTACAGAGACGGATTCAGGGAAAACTAATTTGTTGTTCGAATGCTGTTTCTAGTTCTTTGAGATTACATTGTAACAGAGAAGAAGCAGATGGTAAGGAAACAAATTAATAGTACAAGGAGATCTTCACTATGCCCCACAGGTGATTAACATAAATCGAAATATTTTTCATCCCATAAATCAGAGCGGCACACATTTTCCTACACAGGCAGATAGCACCATCCCCTGCGCCCGATTTCCTATCTCGCATTGCAGCAAAAGTCACAGACATCACTTTGCTGACTGTATCTGACTGTAATAACCTTTGTCACCAAATCAAGGAGCTATTTAGAGAGAGCTGCTCTGAAATGATTTAACATGGCTTCTTTTTTCAAACTAAAATCCTACAGTGACAGTTTAGGAAAAGTATTTAAGATGGTCTATGTGATATGACCTGACTCCTACTTTCCCTAGTGCCTAAAAACAAGCTAAAGAAACATACCCTAGGAACTTTGTTAGGTGGGGTTTTTTTCCATTTATCATTTTGCTGATCTTGAAGAATTATTTTAAATTCAAGGCCTATAACCACTCATCGAAAAATAAATTATTAGAGTCAACTGGGCAAGCATAGATTTTTTATTATGACAGTATGGTTCCTTTATTTTTTAAGTTTACATATTATTTCTTTTTTACCAAACATGCAGATAGAGTTGCATAGTTAATAGTCGGTGTGTTTTCTTCTTTCTTTCTTTTTTTCTTTTTTTTGTAAAGCTTTTGTTGTAGAATTTATCGAGAGGAAAGGAGTAAAAGCCACTTTTCCTTGGAAGATAGTATCTGATGTCATCTAAAATACATGTTATGTCTGCATACTCAAATACTAGGGCAAGCCCATCTTCTGTGTTAATGTTAAATACCATCTCTCACTGGTTACCCACACATTTATTACCCCACCTTTGCCATCTCCTGACTCACATACCCAGTGCCTCCATATCACTTGTATTTGGGTATAATAGACATCTCACAAGTAACAGGTTTAAAACAAAACTGCTAGGAGCTTGGGACAGTTAGATCTAACTACTGAAGTCTGTGAATTTTGCGATTTAAAAATCACGAATGTGAGAGTCTGAGGAAGCTGTGTTACTTCCCAGTCTGCTCTCGCTTCCCTCCCCTCCCCACCTCCTCTGCTCTCTTTCTGATGATCTGAGGCTCAGCCCGAGAGACCTGTAAGGAAACGGTCACTCAGAGTGTCACCTGAAAGGTGCGTGGAGGGGGCGTCACAGCGCAGGCAACACTGGAGCTGAATGTTTAGTGACCAGAGGGCCTGTCCCAGGAGGAGTGAGCGTGTGGAGCCGACCAGCGGAAACCACAGAAACAGAGGTTCGGATGCCTGAAAACAGGACACACCCAAGGGGCGACCAGCAGCTGTGCCCAGAGCCTCAGACCCTTAAAAACACAGGGCCGAGGGGTGAGGGGAGGCGATTTGGAGCCCACTGGGAAGTGAAGCAGCTTTCTCAGAGTCTCACTTTCCTAATTTTTAAATTGCAGACTTCATAATCTTCAGTACGTGGACCCAGTGGTCCCCAGCTCCCCGCTTGTCTACATCAGGAGGCTGAAAGTGTTCGGTACTATTCTTAGTAAGAGAACTACTCCTGACTCCCTCTGTCTAATACTCCATATTAAATACAGGCGGTGCAGTCCATGTGATGTGTCTTTAAACACAAGAAGGTTTAAGTAAAACTACATAACGTGCTTTCATCAAAGGGAGAGAAAATCATTCTTCAAAGCAGAATCCATTCAAGGTTTGACAGGTGATGTTTTTAAAATTGAGCTGCAAGTCAGGGCCGCCGCCTGTGTGTCCTTGAGAGACACAAGGCGATTCTCGCCTCTGAGCCGCGCTCTGCTTTCATTCGGGGTCCTCGGAATAGGGACCCTCCACGGGGTCCCTGATTCCTGCAGCTTTTATTTTGCAAACGACTTTGCATTATAAGTAACAATCTGTTTTTTATGAAAAATTTATGCTTTTATAATGGAAAATGTTTTCTCATTTTTATATTGGAGGGGAAAAAAATCTGTTCTTTGAGCGATTAGTGTATATTAATGCATAATTTATCATATATATTACGTGATATATCTTAGTTGACAAATAGCCCAATTTCAAGCAAGCATAGATTGCATTTAGTTTTTATTATTTATAATAAATTTCCTGAAGACTAAAGGCACAAGTTAAACACTCGGTTTCTTCCGAAATTTCTAGGGAATATCTCCAAGCTGAGACCATTATAAACTTGATTGGAAAAGTGACAGAGGGAGAGTTGTTGATTCAAGACCTGCCCCCGGACTTTAGACAGAAGGAGGGAGAGAGAGGAGGAGAGAGAGAGACAACATGGATTTGTGGCTCCACTTACTGATGCATCGGTCGGTTGATTCTTATGTGTGCCCTGACCAGGATCGAACCCACAACCTTGGAGTATCGGAACCACGCTCTAGACAACTGAGCTACCTGGCCAGGCCCTGTACCCAGACCCGAGCGTAGCTCTTCGCCGAGGCACAGACACCCCAGACCCAGCAGATGGCTGCTCCAGGCAGGCGTAGCCGCCCATAGTGACAGCTTGGACATCTGCAGGCTCTGGTTTCCGTGGGTTCCTGACATTTCCAGAGGTTCTCATGAAAGTGAGAAGATGAGGCAGTGCCGTGAATTTTTCGGAAACATAAGCGTCTTTCGTGTCAAGGAGTGTTTGGTCCATATGAGGTGGCCCTTTCCTTTAGGATTATAGTTGATAGTAGGATGTTTGTCGTCATTGTTTTTTAACATCCTTACTTGGCACAGTGAAAAGTTGTCCATCTTATGTTAGTCCCATTTTTATCTTTAAAACCATAGCAAATAGCAAAAGCCTGGAATGGAAACGATGAGTGTAAAAATATTAATGGGAACATCCGTGAATTTCCTTTCCCTCCGGCATCAGGGTTTTAAGAGAGGCCGGCACAGCCCAGGGCCTCCTCCTTTCTCC